TCAAAAAAAAAAAAAAAAAAAAAAGAAATGATAATCTTTAGAGAAACATTATTTAGGCCTTTAACTGGTAATTTCTTTCTTCTTATCAATTGGGTTAACGGAAATAACTTCAAATTTTAAAACGGGAGTTATTAAAAGGACAAAGAGAGGAAATTTGCAAATTGATGTTAGGTTGATGGTGATAATATAGGGGGAAACTTCATAAGAATAATATATCAAAATGCTGTGCTCACTGTAGAGAAAAACAGAGTTTTAAAAGAGAAAAGAGGCCGGGAGCAGTGGTTCACGCCTGTAGTCCCAGCGCTTTGGGAGGCTGAGGCAGGTGAATCACTTGAGGTCAGGAGTTCGAGACCATCCTGGCCAACATGGTGAAACCCTGTCTCTACTAAAAATACAAAAAAATTAGCTAGGTGTGGTGGCGGGCGCCTGTAGTCCCAGCTACTTGGGAGGCTGAGGCGGATAATCACTTGAACCCGGGAGGTGGAGGGTGCAGTGAACTGAGATTAGGCCACTGCACTCCAGCCTGGGCAATAAGAGTGAAACTGTCTCAAAAGAAAAAAAAAGAAAAGAAAAGACTGAAGTTAAATTAAAACTTCATTTTGTACAAGCAGTGTAAAGTTTACAAGCAAACTCTTTGCATTCTTTTCAGTTTAAGATTAACATGTCCAAGTTCAGAACTCTTTAAGGTAAACTGTGCAGTACTGAGACAAGAAGCTGCTAGGCAGCAGTCAAGACTGAGTTCAAGATTGAACTCAATCATTGTCACTTCAGCAGGTATAGAGAAAATTCACTACGCCTACATCTAGGAGGTTGCCTCAGTATAGGGCTTACTTATTTATATATGTCAACAATAAAAGTAATGATGCCAATTAACCAAGGTGTCAGCACCAAAATTGTCTCTAAAACACTAGACCCTAAGTTACTATTTCTAATATTGGGAAACTAGGAAGGCATACGTGATCCATTATCCAAAATCACCATTTTTTTTTTTTTTTTTTTGAGACACTCTCACTCTGTTTCCCAGGTTGGAGTGCAGGGGCATGATCTTGGCTCACTGCAACCTCTGCCTCCCGGGTTCAAGCAACTCTTCTGCCTCAACCTCCCAAGTACCTGGGATTACAGGCATGCACCACCACGCTTGGCTAATTTTTGTATTTTTAGTAGAGACAGAGTTTCACCATGTTGGTCAGGCTGGTCTTGAACTCCTGACCTCAAGTGATCCCCCCTGCTCCGCCCCCCATCTCCCAAAGTGCTGGGATTACAGGCATAAGTCACTGCACCTGGCCCCAAAATCATTTATACAATGAAAGTAGCAACATTAGGTTGAAACAAGGTTTCTCCACCTCAGCACTATTGTCCTTGGGGACCCAGATAATTCTTTGTGGTGGAGCTACCCTACACAATGCAGGACGTTCAGCAGTGTCCCTCGTCTCTATCCACTAGATGTCAGTAGCACCCCCATCCCTGCCCACTGCAAATGTGACAACCAAAAATGTCTCTCCAGACATTGCCAAATGTTCTCTGGGGGGCAAAACTGCCCCTGATTGAGAACCCCTGGGTTAAAGTACAATAGGGTTTGCACATGAGGCAAAAATCTTTTATCTCCACATGTATCTTAACCTGATGATAGCTTAAAGAGAATAGAACCATTTTGTTACCTCTTAATTATTCAGAAAATATTGGGCTAATTATTATAAACCTCTTGAAATTGCTTTATTATGTAGACATATCAATTTCATTGCAATTAAAATATGAAGGATTGCATTTGATTAAAAATCTACAACTTCTAGAAAATTTCTGAATGGTGCTAAATGGTTTAGATGCTAGTTTTAAAAATGCACGATTTTAAAATCTTATAAAACGTTTCCATATTCAGCCATTAAAGGTTTTATTTGATTTCTTTTAATGTGTCACAGCCAGAGAAATTTCCCAAAACCCAATACAAATTTACAGAGTAATGTCACATTTGAAATGGTTTCACAATTTATAATACTAGTTTTAGGCAATATATGTTTACTACATTTCTGTGATAATGAAACAGAATACTCAGAGTCAAATTTAAAAGGAACATCAGCCCTCCCTACTTTTTGCTTTATTGCAGGTGAATGGAGCCTACATATGCCCTCATGCTTTTATGACTCTGATGAACTTTAAAAGGCATCTTGCATGAATCAGAAGAACGACATGTGTTTTATTTTCATGTGATCTCATATTTTATTTACCCCAGAGCAGTAGATCAATAGTTAAGTGCCCAGAAAGTGCTTTTCAAGAGTGTTGTGGAGTATAAAAAACACAGAGAAATCAATTTCTTTTTCCCATCTCAGGAGACTTGATGCCCTTTTGTGTGGCTCATGGCAACAGTCATCTGAACTTTTAAATCTACATGCTCTAAACTCTGAACATTTGGAAGTAAACAGTAACATATTCAGAATGATTCAAACTGCTTTATTTGTCATCATTTCCAAAGTCACTAATAAGTTATTAAGCTCCCTTATGTGAAATTGCTGAAATGAGCAGTTTATGAAGCAATTTACACAGATCTAAAGACTCTGGAAACTTGCTACTTAAAACGGGTACATGGTGGCTCACTCCTGTAATCCTAGCCCTTTGGGAGGCTGAGGCAGGCAGATCACTTGAGGTCAGGAGATCGAGACCAGCCTGGCCAACAAGGTTAAACCCTGTCTTTACTAAAAATACAAAAATTAGCCGGGTGTGGTGGTGTGCACCTGTAGTCCCAGCTACTCAGGAGTCTGAGGCACGAGAATCGCTCGAACCCAGGAGTCCGAGGCTGCAGCGAGCCACGATTGCGCCACTACACTCCAGCCTGGGTGACGGAGCGAGACTCTGTCTCAAAAACAAAAAAAAAAAACACAAAAACTTGTACATCAAGACAAGCACTAAATTTGTGCAAGATTTTGAAAAGTTTAAGAAAATAAAGATAATATCTTGAAAGGCCAGAATCCTAGTATCTAGTTCCATTTTCCATTTATTTTACTGAGATCTCCATCAAGCTATTTAACAATGAATTTGTTTTTTGTACCTTCTATGTGACATGTCACCTGTGGTGTCTTCATATTTGAAATCAAGTTATTGGCAGTGTCGCAAATTTGTCATTTGAGCTTTTGTCTTTTTATTCATCTTATAGAACCTATACAAGTCATTAACTGAAATCTTGCCACTTTGGGCCGTACATTTAGCAATTTTTTTTTTGCTGAGGTCAAACAAATCTAAACATATGAGCACATCAGCCCATGGGCAAGAATTAGCTTTATCCTGATAGGAAAATCTTACTACCTTAAGAAAGTTTCCACTTCATGCCCTTTAATAGTATTAATCATATTAATATGATAGATCAGCATCGTATTAATATGATAGATCAGCTTTAAAATAATGGGAAAGTCAAGATGATGCTTTTATTTTAAAAACAGAAGTTTAACAGTGCAACATTCACTCATGATTCCTTTAAAAAGAATATTGTCAACAATAGACACCGGGATGACAAGAGGAGGAGGGTGAGGGACAAGGGTCGAAAAATCACCTACTGAGTACTATGCTCACTGGGTGACAGGTTCAATCGTACCCCAAACCTCAGGATCCCACAATATACCCTTGGAATAAGCCTGTACATGTGCCCCAAAAAATCTAAAATAAAAGTTGAAATTTAAAAAAAAGAAAAAAAAAGGAGAAATGCCAGAGGAAATAACAATAATAAACGAATATTGTCAGATGCTTATTTGAAGTTATTTACAAAATATATTTGAAGATTAAAAGTAAACTGTACAGATTTCTTCCCATAAACTCTAAGATTAAATATGTATTAATGTGCTTGAGATGAATAAGAACAATATTTAAAATACGGTACATATATATTTAGAGTTATATCTGAAAAGAACTTAGAAATTTAGAAAATACTTTTAAACGTAATAACTGGGTTACAGGAAAAAATGAGAACTGTAATTATAGACTATTCTGAAAACTAATGATAATGAGATTACTATACATCTATATTTCTTATGTTATATAGCCAGAGCAGTACTCAGAGCAAAATCCATAGCCACAGATGTTTTCATTACTAAGACCAAAAATAAACAAGCTTATTAGTCAACTCAAGAGTTATAAACAAAACAGCAAAACAACAATAACAACAACTGGTAAACAGACTTAATCAATGAACTCAGATGAATGAATCAGGAAACAGAAAGAATAAAGGTGAAAATTAATCCAAGAGCACGTTCTTTGAAAAAATAACAAAAAACTAGCAAAACTTCTGACATGTCCAACGGGAAACTGAGAAAACATTAATGTATTCACTAGCAAATATAAAGAGAACATAGCAACAAAAACAGGTATTTTATAGAAAATATCCTATAATGCTCATGAGAATACTGAAAAATCTGAATGAATTAAAGGATTTTCTTGGAAATTGTAGAGTCTAAATGGATTTAGAAAGATTCATGAAATCTGATATAAATGACCATGGAAGAAATGGGAAGTTTTCAGAGAACTTCTCGCCACAAATATGCACGATTCAGATTATTTATCCACAAAATTTTTATTTCATATGCTTTTTAAAGTATTTCAAAACACAGAAAGTGCTAGAAATATTTCTATACCACGTTCATGGTGACAATAAAAAGAAAAAATCTTCAAGAATTAGCTCCTAAAAAGAAACCTATATGCTATTCTTCATGAAAATAGAGCTAAAAATCTTAGGAAAAACCTAGCAAAATATGTCCAGTAGCTTGTTGAAAATAACTAAAATAGTCAAAATCAAATAATGAAAAATAAAAACAAAAATTAACTTATGTAAGGGTTAGATCAATGTAAAGAAATTTATCAGTATAATGTACTAAATGATTAAAAAACCCAATGATCATAATAATACATAATGAAAAGATAGTTACATTTCAAAATCGATTATTGATTAAAATAATTTTTAGTAAACTGGAAATAAAAGGATACTTTTATCAGAAAGCAAATCATATTTAACAGTGGCTCACCAGATTATGTGGAGTAGAAACAGTCCCATTACAGTAAGGAAGAAGACAAGTGTCCATGTTATCCCACCATTATGTCACTCTGTTCTGATAGTGCCACTACAATGAGACAAAACATCAACAACTAGGTATTACTATTGAAAAGCAGGAGAGAAACTTTAAAGTATATGCAGATGACATGAAATATGGGATTGCTTTCTGGGAAAATGCAAGAAAATAATCATATATCAAATTGAAAGGGGGAACTAACAACTGGCAAAGAATGTCCGTGCAGCAGGGTATGGAGGCTCATGCCTGTCATCCCAGCAGTTTGGGAGGCCAGGGCAGGTGCATCACCTGAGGTCAGGAGTTCGAGACCAGACTGGCCAACACGGTGAAACTGCCATCTCTACTAAAAATACAAAAATTAGGCAGGCATGGTGGTGTGCCTGTAATCCCAGCTACTCAGGTGGCTGAGGCAGGAGAATCGCCTGAACCTGGTGGGTGGAGGTTGCAGTGAGCCCAGATCGAGCCACTGCACTCCAGCCTGGGCGACAAAGCAAGACTCTGTCTCAAAAAGAAAAAGAAAAAAAAAAAAAAAGGAAAAAAAGGAATGCCTGTGCACACATAAATTCATGCAAAAAAATTGAGAATAATGAAAATTTTGGCAAAAAAAGGGCAAAGGATCAAATAAGCAGAAAAAGAAATACAAATGACCATTCAACATATAAAAAGTTCAGTTTTACTATGAAACAAAGAATTGCAAATCGAAGCAGTATTTATATACTGCTATACCATTTGTTTTGCCAAAAGAGTTTTGAAAACCAATAAGATATGGTGCAGGACTCTGGAAAACGGACACTCATATACAGCAAATAATCTGTACACTGACATAATCCTTTTGAAAGGAAATTCACATGTACTAAAACCTTACATGTTTCTATACTTTTTGACTCCAAAATTTAAATTTACACCAAAGACATTAATAGAAGTGAATAAAAATTTGTCAGTTTCCAGAATATTTATTATAGCATTGCTTGTTGTAATTAAAATAAATTTAAAAACATACAATAGATCGAGAAAATGAATGAAATATTAGACAGTCATTAAAAGATGTGGGAATACACTCAAAGTAACACTGTGGATCGGATGCAGTGCTCAGGTCTGTAATTCCAGCAATTGAGAAGGCTGAGACAGGAAGATTGCTTGAGCTCAGGAATTCGAGACCAGCCTGGGTAACATAAGCAAGAACCCATCCATTCAAAAAAAGCTTAAAATTAGCTGGGTATGGTGGCATGTGCCTGTACTCCCAGCTATTGTGGGGGCGGAGGGTGGCTGAGGCAGGAGGGTTGCTTGAACCCAGGAGGTCGAGGCTGCACTGTCCTATGATGGTGCCACTGCACTCCAGCCTGGGTGACAGAGCAAGATCCTGTCTCTATAAAAACAACACCACCACCACCACCACCACCACCACCACCAAAACAACAACAATAACAAAAAACAAAAACAAAACACAGTTAAGTTCAACAAAGAAGATGACAAAGCTGTATAATAGCATGATTCCAGTTTTGTTTTTAAGAAGAAATGTATATGTATTTACACACATACACACAAAAGAAAACACAAGGCTTAGAAAGGTACGTTCCAAATATTTAGAAAATGTTAACATTGGTCATTCGTTGACGCTGGTGGAATTACAGGTGATTTTTACTTTTCTCCTTGTGCTTCTTTGTGTTTTCTAAAAAGAATTTCTATTGCTCTTTTAAAAAGATGATACAACAAACATAGAGAAACCATCATTCACAAGAGATTGTCTTCTCAAATGAATGACTTACACTAAGACCCACTGTTTTGCTGTCTTCAACCCTAGTTACATAGATGACTAAGTAAAAGCCAAAGAAAGCCACTTGATACTTTTATGAAGTGTAAGGCTAAAGGAAAGCTGAAGCAGATGTCTATGTCCTTAGCATAGCTTTCTTCCTTGATGCAAACAAAATGCTTTGTTATAATCTCTATCTATGCATATTGATTTTTCCTTCCCATGATGACTTTACTTAGTTTAACATTTCCCAAGATGACTTCATCTAGTCTGGCTTTTTTTTCCCCCCCAGGGGTTAGCTAGGTGAGCTCTTCCTTCTGGAAATTTCCATCGCACTTAATATAGTGACATTGCTAGAATGGCTGGGCTAACTTGTGGCTGCCTCTCCCTTTAGTACAGCTTTTCCTGACTCTGTGTCCTTGCAACCAAGATGAAGGAGAGAGAAAAAGCTCCCTCAGCTGGATTTAGCTGACGGACATGGGTCCTTTACAGTAAAATACCACCCTTACAAGGAAGGAGAAATGATGTGTTTCTCAAAGTGCTGCAGAAGTCTCATTGTTATTTTCCTCATTGTTGCTTTGAAAATCCAGTATTTCTATTTAACACCAGGGTCACCCAATCTAATTCTGCCATTCATGATTTTCGAGGAACGGGGTGGAATTTGGGGACTGAATTTATGAAGAGGCAGAACGGTAGAGAGGAAAGCCCTGACATCAGCCTCTGGGTGGGGCATTGATTGGCACCTGTGGAATGCCCACCGGGGAAAGATTCTTTTACACTCATTATCTTAATTCTCAGAGCATCTCTGAGGTTTTGTTGCAACTTCAGGGTTCTTTTTTAACTTTTATTTTAGGTTCAGGGGTACACGTGCCAGTGTGTTATACAGGTAAATTGTGTGTCACATGAGTTTGGCGTACAGATTTTGTCATCCAGATAATAAGCATAGTATTCGATAGGTAGTTTTTCGATCCTCTCCTTCCTCTCACCCTCTACTCTCAAGTAGGTAAGAGGAAGCTCCGAAGCTCTCCTGGGATGTTCACCCGCTGTGGTGAGAGTCAGGTGAGGCCCTTCACGGAAGGGCACCCTTTGTTTACCGGAGAGAAAGGAGTCACGTTTGTTTCCTGAATGAAGATAGTCTGTCTATGAACCAGGTATCCTAGCCCCGAAAAGGTGGAAAGTGCATGCCAAGAAAACCCCTAGACAGGACTCCATTCTTCCCATGAGGCCCCTAACCAGAGAATCGCAGAAGGGGTCGGGGAGGATTCCAACTGTGAGTCAGCAGAGGAGACATTCTTTTGAGGTAGAGTCTGGACAAAAACAATGAATCTGTAGATTTCCATAAATAACTGACAGGAGACAGGCGACTTCTATGAAAATATTAACCCAAATGATGGGTGTTAATCATTAAACCTTTTACGTGATGGATTTGTTCTTTTTCTGATATCTTAATCTGGGTCACAGAATGGCTCAGGCAGCTTTAAGTGTAGAGTGGGTTTTTCTTCCTTTTTTGTTTGCCTTTTTTTTTCTATTCCAAAAGGATGTTGTGACCCTTCCTTCCTTCCTTCCTTCCTTCCTTCCTTCCTTCCTTCCTTCCTCTCTTTCTCTCTTTCTTGACGAAGTTTCACTCTGTGGCCCAGGCTGGACTGCAGTGATGAGAACGGATTCAAGCAATTCTCCTGCCTCAATCGCCCAAGTAGCTGGGATTACAGGTGCCCGCCACCACGCCTGGCTAATTTTTGTGTTTTTACTGGAGACAGGGTTTCACCATGTTGGCCAGGCTGATCTCGAACTCCTGACCTCAAGTGATCCACCTCCCAAAGTGTTGGGATTACAGGCGTGAGCCACCGTGCCTGGCCAGTAACTGCTATTCAGGCAGAACTCTGTCAACCAGGTAGTTAGCCTTGAAACTTAAAAATACATTAACATGGGCCAGTAAGAGAAAAAGCTGGACAATAACCACTGTCAAAACAGCAATAAAAATAATATTAAAAAATAGCAATAAAAAACCTAACTAACTTTGCATCCAGCTCTGTTCCAAGCAAAAAGAAAAAAAACATAAAAACAAACCAGTTTTCTGTTGTTTGAGTGCATCTTTGACTTAAAGGACTTGTTATTTCTCTAAATTTGCAGATGTGTTGAGGCTTGAAATTTGAGCCTGTGACTGTTTTACGAGTTTCAAAAGAAAACATTAAACCACCTAAAATGACAGAGGGTAAACTTTCAGTAAATAATTTGGAGCCATTTAGTTGTAGATCTGTTTTCTGTTCATTCCAGTTGCATAAAATATTAGGAATCACTGGGCTCTGTTTGACATATTTTGGCATTATTGCCACTTTTTCGAGTGCTCAATAGCCATCTATGTGTAGTGGCTGCCATATTGGACGGCACAGACACAGAACATTCCCATCATCACAGAATGTCCCATTGGACAACGCTGTTCTATAGCATTAACTTTGATTTTCACAGCTACCAGATTTTTGAGTTGATCAAAACCAACCCCTTGGCAAGAAATGTTTTTAGAGTGAGACAGAGCAGCTCTGGGAACTAAAATAGTAAGTGAAGTACCTGAGTGTTCATTTTGAAAGAATTGCTTTCTAATAACACTTTCGTTATTGCTGGGCCCTTCTGCATAGTTATCTTAAGCTTGAGTAAATCATTCCTAAAGACCTCTTTCTAATATTTTATTAAGGCAATAATAGACTAAAATGGAAATTGTTAATACAATGGTTTTTATTAAAGTATTTATAGTACATGCTAGAAATATGAACTGATGACACAACTAGTATGTGTCACTTGGCCTGTGAAACCATATGTGGCATATAAAGATATGTTCAATTTTATACATTTATTGAGCACCTATTTTGTGTCAGATATATGCACAACAGGTGGCTAAACTGCTATGGACAATCTTGTATATGTTTTTTCTGTATGCTTTCTTTTGGTTGGGTATTTAGGAGTAGAAATTTGGGTCGCAGAGTATACATATGTTGAGAACTATTATCTCTTTCCTTATCCTCTTGTGAGTTCTACACCTTCTCATTAGTATATGTGCTCAATTTCACTTATGCATGGAGGCTCTCTCTTTGAAATGTTTTGAATGCCCTAGGGGAAATATGCTATGTATTTCAGTGAACAAGCTTTCAACCTGTTCACACTTGTCCAGGATAAGTTGGTTTCACTGGCAGGATACAAAACCCAATCTAGAACTACATCAATCCTGTTCTGATCTAAATAGCTTGGGGCTTTCTTTTGTGACCAAAACTGGACCTCTACCCAGCCAGCTCAAGCTCTTGGTTTTAAG